GAGGATGGACAGGGGTGTTGGGAATACTGGGTGGGAGGATGGACAGGGGTGATGGGAACACTGGGTGGGAAGATGGACGGGGGTGTTGGGAATACTGGGTGGGAGGATGGACAGGGGGTGTTGGGAACACCGGGTGGGAGGATGGACGGGGGTGTTGGGAATACTGGGTGGGAGGATGGACAGGGGCTGTTGGGAACACTGGGTGAGAGGATGGACAGGGGTGTTGGGAATACTGGGTGGGAGGATGGACAGGGGTGATGGGAATACTGGGTGGGAGGATGGACAGGGGTGTTGGGAATACTGGGTGGGAGGATGGACAGGGGTGTTGGGAACACTGGGTGGGAGGATGGACAGGGGTGTTGGGAACACTGGGTGGGAGGATGGGTGGGAGGATGGACAGGGGTGATGGGAATACTGGGTGGGAGGATGGACAGGGGGGTGATGGGAATACTGGGTGGGAGGATGGACAGGGGTGTTGGGAATACTGGGTGAGAGGATGGACAGGGGTGTTGGGAATACTGGGTGGGAGGATGGACAGGAGGGTTTTGGGAATTCTGGGTGGGAGGATGGGGACAAGGGCAAGCTTGGAACACCTCACTCTGAAGCAACATGTCAGGAGGCTGAGGAAGCCGTGGCTGCTTCTAAATCTACCTTCTTTATTCTTACAGAGACCCCCCCAGTGGATCTGCTCAGGCCCCCAGCATGGGGGCAGTGGGGTCAGCGTAGGGACCCTATGGAGCGGAGCTGCCACAGGCTGAGGGCCAGGGAGGGAGGCAGGGATGGAGGGAATGAGCTGTGGGTTCCCGACGGGGCGGTTCCAGCTCACTCTTGGGGGTGTTGCCCCAGGCCTGGAGCCGCCCTGGAGAACGGAGCGTGTGAAGGAGACTAGGGTGGACCCCGGCCCAGCCTTGCAGAGCACAGCCCGGGGGGCGGGGGCCGTTCCCTGGCCGAGGCTGCCCCCAATCGGGGAGGATGTTGTGTGGGTCTCTGGCTTCCCCCCAACTCAAGGAGTCCTCAGTGCCCAGAATGGGGGAGGGGGTGGTCCTCGCTTGGGGGAGGGGCCAGGGAGGGCGCTGTGCTCACAGCCACAGGCGGGTCTACACCGCCTGCCTCTGCCCTGCTGACTCACGCCGCGATGGATTCGTTATGTGTTCACCTTAGTTTGGGCATATTTGGATTTGAGGATATATTAATGCAAGGACTATGAACATTCCTTCAAAGGTGGGAGGATGGACAGGGGTGATGGGAATACTGGGTGGGAGGATGACAGGAGGATTTTGGGAATTCTGGGTGGGAGGATGGGGACAAGGGCAAGCTTGGAACACCCCACTCTGAAGCAACATGCCAGGAGGCTGAGGAAGCTGTGGCTGCTTCTAAATCTACCTTCTTTATTCTTACAGAGACCCCCCAGTGGATCTGCTCAGGCCCCCAGCAGGGGGGCAGTGGGATCAGCGTAGGGACCCTGTGGAGCGGAGCTGCCACAGGCTGAGGGCCAGGGAGGGAGGCAGGGATGGAGGGAATGAGCTGTGGGTTCTGGACAGGGCGGTTCCCAGCTCATCTTGGGGGTGTTGCCCCAGGCCTGGAGCCGCCCTGGAGAACGGAGGGTGTGAAGGAGACTAGGATGGACCCCGGCCCAGCCTTGCAGAGCACAGCCCGGGAGGCGGGGGCTGTTCCCTGGCCGAGGCTGCCCCCAATCGGGGAGGATGTTGTGTGGGTCTCTGGCTTCCCCCCAACTCAAGGAGTCCTCAGTGCCCAGAATGGGGGAGGGGGTGGTCCTCGCTTGGGGGAGGGGCCAGGGAGGGCGCTGTGCTCACAGCCACAGGCGGGTCTACACCGCCTGCCTCTGCCCTGCTGACTCACGCCGCGATGGATTCGTTATGTGTTCACCTTAGTTTGGGCATATTTGGATTTGAGGATATATTAATGCAAGGACTATGAACATTCCTTCAAAATCAATTTTTTAGATATTTCTGTTCCTGGAGCCCTCAACGGACAGGGAGTTCCTTCAAAAATCAAATCGAATCATGCATCCTCCCCTCGGGAGACGCGTTCATGCGAGCTGTCTGATTGTGCCGGAAGCGCAAGGCGAAACCTGGCGGGTTGTCGCTTTAAACGGGCTGCGCAGCTGACGGGCGCCGGAGAGCCGTCCCGCCCTGCCGCAGGGAGCCGCCGCCGCGTCCCCATGGTTACGGCCGGCCCGTCGCTGTCGCCGCGCAGGGCGGGCGCGCGCTGCGGTGCTGGCGCTCTGGACCCGCCCGCCGAGCGCAGCGCGGCCTCTGCCCCCGCCCCGCGCCGGCCGCCGGCCCGCCTCGCCGCAGCGCCGCGGTCCGTGGACAGCTCGCCCGCGCGCGCGCCCGCCCCGGCATGGGAGCCGCCCGCCCGGGACCGCGCGCGCCGGCGCCGCCGCGGCAGCGCCGGCCCCGCGGCTCCCCGGCGGCTCGGGCCGGAGTAGGTGAGAGCCGCGCTGCGCCGAGCGCTGCGCCCTCCGGACGCGCAGGCCCGGTTCTGGGCAGGGGCGCCGGCGGGGGAGGCGGTTCCTGCTGGTCCCGCCGTGGGAAGGCGGATTCCCGGCACCTTCCCGTGAAGCCGGGGCCGGGAGCCCGAGAGCCGCGGGCGCGTGAGCGCTCGCCTGGCGACGGGGACCCAGCGGCCGGAGGTCCGCTACCCGGGTCGGCTGGTGGGGATTAATCCCAGGCGTACCCGGTGCTCTTGGTTTACACTGCCAGACATGTTTGTCGGCTTTATGCAGCCTGAGACGAGGGCAGTTCTCGCGCCGGGGTGGTGAGCACAGCTGAGCTCCATCTAACGTGGAGAAGGAGCTGCCCCCGCGAGGGCAGCGTCCGCCTGCGGGCGCGTTCGTCCTCCCCGGGCACCCCCGCGTGCCCCGACGGGGCTGAGCGGCGACTCCACAGGCTGGCCTGGGGACAGGCCCGCGGGGGCAAACTTCCGCTGAGCCGGCGCAGGGAGGACCCCCACCGTGCCTCTGACCATGCGCTGTCTCCACAGATGGGCGCAGCCTGCAGACCCCACCAGCCCCACGGCGGCCACCCTGACGCACACTGCCCGGAGCGCAGCGCCTGGCCGCTGTTGGGACTTTGACCTTCCGGATGGCCATGGAGGCTGGCGGGGAGCAGGGCGCGACATAACCGCCTGGGCCTGCGGCTCCTCCAGGGCGCTCACACTTCGGTAACTTTGCAGAGCTCATGGTGAGTACTCGGCCCTGGCCCCCAAGGCCACCCCCGCCGGGGGCCACCCCCGCCGTCCGGTGCACGCAGCCAGCCAGCCGGGGCGCTCAGCCAGCCAGCCGGGGCGGGAGAGTTGTGGGCGGGTAGTTCGGGGGCGTCGGGCTGGGGCGGGCCAGGGGCCGCGGGCCTCACAGCACCTGGGTCCCCGAACCCAGGCCTCCTGTCTCCCGCCCTCCGGGCCGGCTCGCTCTGCGTTGATCATACTAATTAGTTGCAGGCATACAGCAGTGTCTGTGGAGGTGACATCCCCGCGGGGGGCTCGCGTCGACCCTGCCCCCGAAAACCTTGCCTAGCCCTGGACCAGGGCCCCTCCCCCGCCTCCTCATCCGGGCCCCTCCTGAGGCCCTTGGCCCCTGCCTGCCCCCTCCCCAGGTTGACCCAGCGGTAGAGCCCGAGGGGTGTGGGTGGGCTTCGCGGCCCAGGCATGGAACGGGTGTCCTCTCGCCGGGAGCGGGGACGGCCCTGCAAGCTTTTATTGTGGTTGCTGCCAGTCTGGACTCGGAAAGGTTGACAGCCAAGTAAACAGAGTGTCGTGTGTGCTGGTAAGGGACAGCTGACAGAGGCGGCGAGGACCCGGGGTGCGTGCAGAGAATGCTGATGGCCCCACAGGACAGTGTGGCCGTCACAGCCACCGGCATGCACGCTCAGAGCAGCTGAGTGTCTACTTCACAGGGAGCGGGCGTCTGAGTCACCTGCTCCTCTTCTTCCTGTGCCATTCAAAATGTCCACGCGAGAGAGACGCTTTTGGCCAAAATCCAGCATCATCTCAAGCTGCTGCCCAAGCCTCTGAGGCTGGAAGACGTGGCCACACGCACCTCCCCACGGCTGACAAGGTCACGTGATCGGGGGCGGAGGGCAGGCCCCAAGGGGGGCCGCCTCCAGCTTCCCAAGCCACCACCTGTTGCCTGCAGGTGCCACACCCGCCGTGGCCGGGGGCGCCGGGTCGGCAGTAGCCCCGGCTGTTCATCCTCAAATTCAGACCCTCCTTTGCAAAATGGAAACCTGCCATTGGCAGACGAAAACTGAGTCAAGGTTGCTTCAGAGGTGGGGGGGGGGGTGGCCACAGCAACCCTGGAGGCCTCGGGGTTAGGGGGGCCACCATCTCGGCCCCCCTCCCCTCCGCTCTGACCCTGGGCCCTTCTGCGCACAGCTTGCAGGGGCTTCCCCCACCCAAGACGCGCCCCCCGCCTGCGTGGTCTGAGCACAGCACAGCGAGGGCTCCTGCCGCCAAGACGCAAGACCTGTAGCTTCGCCTGGGAATTTGTGGGGGATTTCAGCCGTGTGTGGGGTTCTGTTGTTGACAGATTACATTCGCACCTGAGACAGTCTCTGAACGGGACAGAGAGTGTGCAGTGTTGTCCTCCCGAGTTGCGTAAATCTGGTGCAAGCGCTTTTCTGCCTGTGTCTCCGAGTTCATGGTATGGTTACCTGGGTAGACTCACCTGGCAGCCTTGGGAGTGTGGGAAGGAGGCCTGGAGGCCGCGGCCAGGTGAGGGTAGTCCTGACTCTGCCTGACCCTCCACCGGGGCCCGACCCCTGCTGAGGGGCAAACGGCCTTCTCAGTTCATAAGTGTGAAGACACAGGCCGGCTCTCTGCATCTCCACCCACCGAGCATCGAAGCATGAAGCAGTGTTGAATTCTACGTGTCTGGGGCCCTGCGCTCTCCTCTCTGCCTGCTCCCTGTCCGCCTCGGGGCCCCAATGGACACATGGTGAGTGCCCCACGGCAGGACGTCCGAAGGCCTCCTGTCCAGCATTTTGCTTTTTGTTTTTTTTGTGTGTGGGGGAGACAGAGTCTCACTCTGTTGCCCAGGCTAGAGTGCCATGGCATCAGCCTAGCTCACAGCAACCTCAAACTCTTGGGCTCACGGGATCCTCCTGCCTCAGCCTCCCGAGTAGCTGGGACTACAGGCATGCGTCACCATGCCCGGCTAATTTTTTCTATATATATTTTAGCTGTCCAAGTAATTTCTTCTATTTTTAGTAGAGACGGGGGTCTCGCTCTAGCTCAAGCTGGTCTGGAACTCCTGAGCTCGAACGATCCACCCGCCTCGGCCTCCCAGAGTGCTGGGATGACAGGCGTGAGCCACGGCGCCCGGCCACGTCCAGCGTTTGAGGCTGAGGGCACCCCCTCCTGGACGCACCTGGTCGCTGCTGTTAACCCACAGCAGACAACTCAGTGGCTCCTGCAGAAGGTGCTGTTAGTACTTAAATCCAAGCAGGCACCAAAATGTGCATGATTTGACCCTATTACCGGCAGCCCTCATGCTCAACTTGGAGAACAGCCCTTCCTGAAGGGAACAGCTGATGGTCTTGGTAGTTAGAGTGAAAATTGTCCACACCTTAGTGCTTCCTCCGCCCCAGCCTCCTTCAGAGCATCCGCGTCTGCTGGTTATGCTGAGGCGCCTTTCACTGGGTTCGGGCTCGGGTTGCCAGCAACACGGTTCCCGGCATCAGGAACTGAGTAGCATAATGGGATTGGTATGACCTGACACGGAAGGGTGTATATGGTGTGGTGTGGTGTGGTGTGGTATAACACGCGTGGTATGATATGGCGTGGCACAGTGTGGTGTGGCAAAGCACAGCTTGGTGTCCTGTAGCGTGTGTATGTGGTGGTAGAGTGTGGCGTGGTGTAGTATAGTGTGGGTGGTGTGGTTTGCGGTGGTACAGCGTGTGCAGTACAGTTTGGTGTGGTGTGATAATAGCATGATGTGGTGTGTGTGGTGTAGCACGGTATAGTGTGTCATAGCATAGTGTGGTGTCGTATAGCATGTGGTAGTATGGTATATAGCATGTTGTGGTGTGGTGTGGCATGGCATAACATATTATGGTGTGGAGCATTGGGGTAATGTGTGCAATATGATCTAGTAGGCTGGGCTCAGTGGCTCACGCCTGTAATCCTAGCACTCTGGGAGGCCAAGGTGGGCGGACTGCTCAAGGTCAGGAGTTCGAAACCAGCCTGAGCAAGCGAGACCCTGTCTCTACTAAAAATAGAAAGAAATTAATCAGCAAACTAATATACATAGAAAAAATTAGCCGGGCATAGTGGCACATGCCTGTAGTCCCAGCTACTCGGGAGGCTGAGGCAGGAGGATTGAGGAGCCCAGGAGTTTGAGGTTGCTATGAGCTAGGCTGACGCCACAGCACTCTAGCCTGGGCAACAGAATCAGACTCCATCTCAAAAAAATACATATATATGACACAGTGTGGTATAGTGTATGTTGCATGGTGTGGTATAGCATAGTGTAGTGTGGTGTAGCATAGTATGGTGTGGTATACTGTGATGTGACGTGGTATAGTATGTACTATGGCTTAGCATAGTATGGTGTGGCAGAGCATGGGGTGGTGTGGTATAGTGTGATGTGACATGGTATAGTATGTACTATGGCCTAGCATAGTGTGGTGAGGTGGAGCATGGGGTGGTGTGGTATACTGTGATGTGACGTGGTATAGTATGTACTATGGCCTAGCATAGTGTGGTGTGGTGGAGCATGGGGTGGTGTGGTACAGTGCGGCATAACAGTGTGGTATTGTGGTGTGGTGTGGTGTGTCATAGCACAGCATGGTGTGGCTCTTTCACCCTCTTCTTCAGACTGTGTGGTGTGGCATAACAGCGTGGTCTGTGGTGTGGGATAGCACAGTGTGGTCTGTGGTGTGGGTTAGCACAGCGTGGTCTGTGGTGTGGGATAGCACAGCGTGGTGTGTGGTGTGGGATAGCACAGCGTGCTGTGTGGTGTGGGATAGCACAGCATGGTCTGTGGTGTGGGATAGCACAGCGTGGTGTGTGGTGTGGGATAGCACAGCGTGGTGTGTGGTGTGGGATAGCACAGCGTGGTCTGTGGTGTGGGATAGCACAGCGTGGTATGTGGTGTGGGATAGCGTAGCGTGGTCTGTGGTGTGGCATAACAGCGTGGTGTGTGGTGTGGGATAGCGTAGCGTGGTGTGTGGTGTGGCATAACAGCGTGGTGTATGGTGTGGGATAGCGTAGCGTGGTCTGTGGTGTGGCATAACAGCGTGGTGTGTGGTGTGGGATAGCGTAGCGTGGTGTGTGGTGTGGCATAATAGCGTGGTGTGTGGTGTGGGATAGCGTAGCGTGGTGTGTGGTGTGGCATAGCAGCGTGGTCTGTGGTGTGGGATAGCACAGCATGGTGTGTGGTGTGGGATAGCACAGCATGGTGTGTGGTGTGGGATAACAGTGTGGTTTGTGGGATAGCGTAGTGTGGTGTGTGGTGTGCATAGCACAGCATGGTGTGTAGCCTGGGGTGGCTGGCATAGTGTAGCATGCTATCACATGCGATAGCCTGGGGGTCCAGCGTGGCATGCTATCACATGTGATAGCGTAGGGGTCCAGTGTGGCGTGCTATCACATGTGATAGCGTGGGGGTTCCGTGTGGCGTGCTGTGGCAGGGGGCAGCCCCTGAAGCTACTTGCTGTTGGTCATAGCAGTATTAAGTGGAGCTGTTCAGAGGAGCTCACCCTCTCTTCGATGTTCAGGCCACGGCTGGTGCCACGACGACCTGACTTTAGTGGCTGTGCTCAGTGTGACTCCCCGGTGGCCGCCAGCAGCCTCAGCAGGATGTGGGGCTGTCACAGAGAACCCGCAGAGCCCCTCGGCCCCGCTCACCCTAAATTCAGGGCTGCCTTTGGTGTCTCTGGCGGAGTCTGCTGCCGCGTCCTGCACCAGAAAGAGGGAGCAGCCAGACCTGCCCGGCCCCGCTTGGAGCTGCGGACCCCAAGGCGGCACGTCCGGATGCCCCTTGCCGCCAACATTTCCCGCCGCACACGCGGGAGCCTGTAGTCAGAAAAGGCAGGGTGGGGTTTCAGCTTCCCCAGGACCGGGCAGGTGGCGGGAGGGTGGAGACCTTGGGCCGCACAGGCGGCGCAGCCGGGCTCACAGGCCGAGCGGGGAGGCTGGCAGGGGCCCCCACGGCCCCACAGAGGAGGCTGGCTCTGGAAGGGCCAGAGACGGGCCACGGGACAATCGTAGCCCGAGTTGTCAGCGAGGGGGTCACCCCATGCCTGGTGGGTTTGTCTCCTCGCAGCCCTGCGGCAGGGCGCCCAGGGGGCAGGTAGAGCCTGGGAACCGCCTCCCCGACCAGCGCGAAGAGGGCCGCTCGCATTCACAGACGTCTCAGAACTTTGGTGGGTTCTTTTCTGGTCTGTTGCTTTTTATTCAGTCCCGTACCAAAATTACTAAAAACTGCCAAAATCTGCTGCCTTCGTCTCACGGAGCAGGGGTCTGTCCTCGCCTGTCGTCTCCCCTGCCATTGAGAGCTCCAAACAAGCGAAAACTCAGTCTAGGAGGAAAGGCCCTATGACGCTTTCAGCGTGTTTGTCTCCGAATCCTGGCAGGACTGTGCCAGCCCACGTGCCCCTCCAAAAAGAAACCCACGACACGCTGCTGCGCAGACGTGACAAGGCGGCACCCACTCTGGACACGCAGCCGAGCTCCTTCCTGCCCTCTGCCTCCCCCGGGGCCCGCGAGGCGGGCAGAGCACAGAGGCCGACGGGGTCACACGTCAGGCTGTGACGGGATCACTCGTCGCCGGCGCGGAACCAGGGGCGAGTGCGGGAGAACCTGCAAAAGGCCCGTTTACTGCCCGGACAGACGGAGCCTGCAGGCCGCCACGCCGCCGAGGGGCTCGGTGGGGTCAGACTTGCAGGGACCTCGGCTGGCGCCCTCTTCCCACCTTCCCTCCTTCCTTCTCGCCTGTCTTTACACCCCAGCCCGTTCGACTTTGCAGAACCCACGGGAAAGGGTACGCCCGACGCAGATAATAAGGAAATGCAAAAGGAGGTTGGGGCTCTACGAGGAGACGACCCCCCCCACGTCGGAGCCGGCCTGCAGGAGCGGCTCCTGGAGCCACGGGGCCACCCTGCAGGCCCAGAAGCTGCCATCCCCCTGCCCTGCCCACGCCAGGTCCTCCGGGCTGTCTTCCTCCCGCCCTCCGGCGTGAGATGAGATCCCGGCTGCCTCCTCTGCTTCTCTGCGGTGGGTCCGGAGGGCTCCCTGCTGTCAGGGCCTCAGGGGACGTGCCTGTCCCCCTCGGCCAGATTCTGCCTGAGCACGTGTCAGACCGTCGGCGTGATCTTGCCCGTGGAATGCTGGCAGGGGAGACGCTTCCGAGGGGAACTTGCACATGTGTGAAACTCTAAAACATAAAATACATCTCTATTCTGCATGGCTTGCTTTGAGTTTTAAATGTCACCTCTAAAAATGTAGAAAGGCACTGTTGATAATTCTAATTTAGAGAGAGAAAAAAAAGGAAACCGAGCCAAATCGAATCCCTGTCTCTTATCAAACGTGCCACTGACCCACAGCCACCGCGGCCTGGGCACAGAAGCCCGGCCCGGACCAGGCCACGCGGCTGCCCCAGAGGCCGAACGCCTCCCCTCGCTGCCTGCTCCATGCGGAACCTCAGGACCTGGCCATGCACAAGGAGGCCCCCGTCCACGGTGGCGTGGCCTGGCACACGGCGTCCCTGGCCCGGCACACGGCGTCCCCGGAACAGGACTCTGCATCTCGAACTGGCTCCCTGAGGTGCTGCCCCGTCGAATAACACGCGGTTCTGACTTCTGCCATGTTTCCCCGAAAATAAGACAGGGTCTCGTGTTTATTTTTCCTCAGGAAGACACCCTAGGGCTTATTTTCAGGGGACGTGTTATTTTCCCCCCCAAAGCCTCAGCTTGCAGCACGCACAGGACGGCCGGGACCCGACAGGGAGAACCGACCTGGTTGGTGGGGCTGCCCTCACTTTCCGGTCACCTCTGGGACAGTCGCTGTCACGACGGGGCAGACGAGAAGGGCTGCTCGTCTTCTTTCCCACTCCGCGACGACACGCATGGGTTGTGCAGATGTGCTGTGTAGCCATCACTAGGGCTTATTTTCGGGGTGGGGCTTCTGTTGCACAAATGCTTAGAAATTCTGCTAGGGCTCACTTTATGGGTAGGTCTTGTTTTCGGGGAAACACGGCATTTGGCTTAACATAAATGGGTTTTACGTAGGTGAATAAAAACCCACAGATAAGACACGGTCAAACCTGATCGCCGGGGACGGGGTGGGGTGTGGCTCGCACGCACAGGACATGGGGGGGTTGCCGCGGACGCTGCTTTAGGACGCCCCAGCCCGGCCCTGCTACCGACGTGCACGCCCCTTGGAAGGCTATGGGGGCACCTGTGACGCCCAGAGGGCAGAGCCCCCTAAACACAGTGGACGCAAAGTTCTGGTTCCAGGCAGGGGACCCGTCGTGGAGCCGGTCCTGACAGATACGGGGAGCCCTGGGCATGGCGCATGCCAGGAAACGGTGCGCCAGGGGGCGCCGCAGCCGGAGCTCTGGGACTCGCCGCCCCACCCCCCCACCCCACCCCCCGCTGCCCAGCACAGGTGGAGCTGCCCCCCCAGCAAGCCCTCACCTGGGGGTTTCCAGAGTCATGGCGCCATCCTGGAGGTCCAGCCGACAGCTGCCTGCTGCTCTGCCCGCCCGGGCAGCGCCCACCCCACGTCCAGAGCTGCTCCCAGCCTGGCGCACGGGCCCCAGTGCAGGCTGGGGGAGGGGCCCGCGCGGCTGCAAACCCCCGGCCCGACTGCCAGGGCCGCCCTGTGGTCTCACGGGGGACTCTGGGGCAGCCCCTGCCCGCATAGCCCTGGCCGTGTCCCGAGACAGTGAACACCAGCCTGGCCCACCCACCAGGCCCAGTGGTGGCCTGGCCCAGTGGACACCAGCCTGGCCCACCCACCAGGCCAGGGCCTCTCCGTGGAGGGCCGGGCAGAGCATGGACGGGGACAGGGCAATGACTGTGCCCCAACAGTGGGACCACAGCACCCCGTGGGGTCCCTGTGGGACTCGGTGCCCACCAAGGGTGTGAGGCTGCAGGTCCAGGGTCCAGGTGCTGACAGGTGGTTTGTGCCGGGGCCTCGCATGGTCTGCAGACGGTTTCCTGCCGTCCTCACGCGGCTGCTGTGTGCGTGACCTCCCCGGCGTGTCCTCCCGTGCCTAGCTTAGTGGAGCTCACCACGCCATGTGACCAATGAGACGCACACGTCGTCCTCGGTCCCAAACATTTGCAGCCAGGACACCCTCTTCCCCCAGCTCTGCTCTGCCACAGAGAGCACGTTCTCCTCGCACCCCGACCTCAAGCCCTCACTTGGACCGTGACGCACAGCGAAGTCCGTGATGTCTAGGATTGGGCCGGGGGCCTTGGCCATGTCCATGGTGCGTAACAGCCACTGTCCTGTCTCCATGGACTCGAGCCAAGGCTTCACACAAAATTCTCCCAGGAAGGTTTTAAAGCAGGATTTCCGTGGGCGTGCCGCACAGAAGTGGGGCTGGGGTGACCCCACGCCTCGCCGCCTCTCTGCATGGCCACCCTGACCCCACCGGCAGGTGAGGTGCCCCCCGGAGGAAGCTGCCACCGCCCCCACCCTCCACCAGCTGCATGGGACAGACGTTAGGCACAGCAGAAATGCCACCTCCTAGAGCTGGCCCTCAGGGCCTGCAGAATCGCCCCGGGCTGGGCACAAAGGTGGGGTGCAGACAGGCCACACTGGGCGGCCACATGCTGCCACGGTTCCTGCACCAGCGCCCACTGAGCAGGGCCTTTCTCTGCTGCCAGCTGAACCGCTCCGCCGGGGCGGACGCTGTGCCTGTGAGACCTCACACGTGGCTCGGGCCGGGACGTGGCCAGAGTGGCTCCAGGGGAGGCTGAACCCGAGGGGGGGACCAGGAGGTTCCACGGCCGCGCAACTCCTGGCATCCTGTAGGTCACCCGGTGTCCTTTGTTTCCTCCCCAGGATCTGAAGACCGTCCTGTCCCTGCCCCAGTACCCAGGGGACTTCCTGCACCCCGTGGTGTATGCGTGCACCGCCGTCATGCTGCTCTGCCTCCTGGCCTCCGCCATCACCTACGTCGTGCACCAGAGGTGAGCCTGGCCGGAGGGCCCTGCGCCCAAGGCGCCTGCCTCCACCTTCAGACCCAAATCCCCAAAGTGAGGTCCCACTGTCCCCCAGGCACCAGAGGGTGGAGGTGCTCAGGGGAGCCTCGCCCTCCACTCTGGCCTCCAGCGGGTCTCACAGCAGCTTCTGTTCTTAACTGGGTGCAGCGAGCTCCCCCTGAAACAGGAAAGGTCAGCTGGGTGCAGTGAGCTCCCCCTGAAACAGGAAAGGTCAGCTGGGTGCAGAGAGCTCCCCCTGAAATGGGTACAAGGTCAGCTGGGTGCAGTGAGCTCCCCCTGAAATGGGTACAAGGTCAGCTGGGTGCAGAGAGCTCCCCCTGAAATGGTGCAAGGTCAGCTGGGTGCAGCGAGCTCCCCCTGAAATGGGTACAAGGTCAGCTGGGTGCAGCGAGCTCCCCCTGAAATGGTGCAAGGTCAGCTGGGTGCAGCGAGCTCCCCCTGAAATGGGTGCAAGGTCAGCTGGGTGCAGTGAGCTCCCCCTGAAATGGGTACAAGGTCAGCTGGGTGCAGTGAGCTCCCCCTGAAATGGGTACAAGGTCAGCTGGGTGCAGTGAGCTCCCCCGGAAATGGTGCAAGGTCAGCTGGGTGCAGCGAGCTCCCCCTGAAATGGGTACAAGGTCAGCTGGGTGCAGCGAGCTCCCCCTGAAATGGTGCAAGGTCAGCTGGGTGCAGCGAGCTCCCCCTGAAATGGTGCAAGGTCAGCTGGGTGCAGTGAGCTCCCCCTGAAATGGTGCAAGGTCAGCTGGGTGCAGCGAGCTCCCCCTGAAATGGGTGCAAGGTCAGCTGGGTGCAGCAAGCTCCCCCTGAAACAGTGCAAGGTCAGCTGGGTGCAGCGAGCTCCCCCTGAAATGGGGTCAAGGTCAGCTGGGTGCAGCGAGCTCCCCCTGAAATGGATACAAGGTCAGCTGGGTGCAGCGAGCTCCCCCTGAAATGGGGTCAAGGTCAGCTGGGTGCAGTGAGCTCCCCCTGAAATGGGTGCAAGGTCAGCTGGGTGCAGCGAGCTCCCCCTGAAACGGTGCAAGGTCAGCTGGGTGCAGTGAGCTCTCCCTGAAATGGGTGCAAGGTCAGCTGGGTGCAGAGAGCTCTCCCCGAAATGGGTGCAAGGTCAGCTGGGTGCAGCGAGCTCCCCCTGAAACGGTGCAAGGTCAGCTGGGTGCAGCGAGCTCCCCCTGAAATGGGGTCAAGGTCAGCTGGGTGCAGTGAGCTCCCCCTGAAGTGGGTGCAAGGTCAGCTGGGTGCAGCGAGCTCTCCCTGAAATGGTGCAAGGTCAGTGGGTGCAGCGAGCTCCCCCTGAAATGGTGCAAGGTCAGCTGGGTGCAGCGAGCTCCCCCTGAAATGGTGCAAGGTCAGTGGGTGCAGCGAGCTCCCCCTGAAATGGGTGCAAGGTCAGCTGGGTGCAGCGAGCTCCCCCTGAAATGGGTACAAGGTCAGCTGGGTGCAGTGAGCTCCCCCTGAAATGGGTGCAAGGTCAGCTGGGTGCAGCGAGCTCTCCCTGAAATGGTGCAAGGTCAGCTGGGTGCAGTGAGCTCTCCCTGAAATGGGTGCAAGGTCAGCTGGGTGCAGTGAGCTCCCCCTGAAATGGGTACAAGGTCAGCTGGGTGCAGCGAGCTCTCCCTGAAATGGGTACAAGGTCAGCTGGGTGCAGTGAGCTCCCCCTGAAATGGGTACAAGGTCAGCTGGGTGCAGCGAGCTCTCCCTGAAATGGGTACAAGGTCAGCTGGGTGCAGCGAGCTCCCCCTGAAATGGGGTCAAGGTCAGCTGGGTGCAGTGAGCTCCCCCTGAAATGGGTGCAAGGTCAGCTGGGTGCAGCGAGCTCTCCCTGAAATGGGTACAAGGTCAGCTGGGTGCAGCGAGCTCCCCCTGAAACGGTGCAAGGTCAGCTGGGTGCAGCGAGCTCTCCCTGAAACGGTGCAAGGTCAGCTGGGTGCAGTGAGCTCCCCCTGAAATGGGTACAAGGTCAGCTGGGTGCAGAGAGCTCCCCCTGAAACGGTGCAAGGTCAGCTGGGTGCAGCGAGCTCCCCACAAGGTGATCACACCTCGGGAGGGTGCAGTGGCCTGGAGAACACTGAGAGATTCGGGAAATGTGAGGAGGGTCCCGCACAGCAGGGCCAGGCATCAAAGTCACGGTCCGTGCCCAGGCCGTGGCCATGCCCGCACTCATGGGCAGAGACCTGGCACAACCCAGATGCCATAGACTCAGTGGCTTATAAATAACGGAAATTGGTTTTCTCACAGTTCTGGGGCCGGGAGGTCCAAGACGAAGGCGGCGGCAGCAGACGCAGCGTCTGGCTGCTCGGCTCACAGACCCGCCTTCTCACCTCATCCTCGCATGGCGGGAGGGGCAGGGCGGCTCTCCCAGGCTCCTTTATGCGAGCACTGATCCCACTTAAGTTTGCACATGAGAGCCTTGGTGGGACACAGACCCTCAGGCCACAGCCACTGTGGTCACGGGAGAGGCTTGGCCGTGCCCACGGCCACGGTGAAGGCTGTGGCCAGTGTCGTAATCCGGCTACACCCATCCCGCCCAGCCCCTTCCCGGGGTGCCAGGCGTCTGCTCAGCTGGTGGGGGGACGAGCCCGTCCTGGGACCCAGAGGCGTGACTTCTGCCTGAGTCTGCACACGAGCCAGAGTCCCAGGGCTCAATGTCGTCACCTGTCGAACGATCGGATTGCTCAGACCCTGCAAACGCCGCCCACCCCTCCCGCCCCGGTGCAGCATGCTAGGGTGGCAACCCGGCAGGGTGGGCGTAGCACGGCACCTTGCTCTGTCCCCCGTGTGGGGCTCCAGACAGTTGCTCCCAGCCCCGCAGAGGGACAGGGCTGGGGGGGAGGTAGGGGGCGAGGGGCTCAGTCCCCAGCTGCTCCCTGAAGTGGCAGTTGCGAAGGTGACCTGCCCTCTTTCTCGCAGCGCCATCCGGATCAGCCGGAAGGGCCGGCACACGCTGCTGAACTTCTGCTTCCACGCGGCTCTGACCTTCACGGTGTTCGCGGGCGGCATCAACCGCACCAAGTTCCCCGTCCTGTGCCAGGCGGTGAGTGCCGTGGTCGCGTGTGCCACAGAGCTGAGCGTGTGTTCGTCCCCCTCCTGCCGAGGGGGAGAGAGTGTGACCGTCTTGCCTGTGAAGTGAGATTCTAGCGTCTGTCCAGCGTTTCCCGGGAAGGGACGCGAGGCTCTGGCCGGTCTGCGTCAGTTTCACTCCGTTCGAATCCGGTTGTTTTGCCCCAAATCGTATCATATAAAACAATTTACTTCTCCCTGGACTGGCGTACTCCGAGGCCATGGTGACAGCTGACCGGACATCTGCTGTCCACCGAGGCCAAGGACAGACCTGCCTCTACCAAGGGGTCTGGTGGGGCAGGAGCTCCGGGGAGGAGAACTGGCCCCAGCCCAGGCAGAGGCCGCCTGTCGGGGAGCAGGAGCCAGTCACCGGGGTGTCTGGATTGTGCAACCCGCCCGCCCTGCGTGAACCCCCAAGAGCTGCTGGGAACATCCCGCTCTGCCAGCTCGAGGTAGAGCCTCTCAGCACCCAGCACGGAAAAGGACCAGGGTGTCAGGAAAGGGGCTGCCTCCCGCCCTGGGCCGGCCTGGCTTTGGCTTGAAAGGGGGGATTCGGAATCACCGGCTCCAGCAGAGCTGAGCCTGGGTCACAGCTGTGCCCAGGCAGCTCCTGCCTGCACCCCAGGCCAGGCCCCGGGACAGGGGGGTGGGGGTACCCACGCACTGCAGGCGTGTGACCGGGGCTCAGCCCTGCGGTTCGGTTCCTGCGTGGGGCCTGGCTCAGCCTCCTGTGCCTGGGTAGCGTGTGGGTTCCTCCCCGGCCCTGTTGTCACAAACTCAGCGAACAGCCACGGGTGGGCGTGCGCGGACTCCAGACCGGGTGCCTAGGCCCTCCCGAGCCTGCACTGACATGGTGGCCATCTGTCCATACTGGTGACCTGTCCACCTGCCAGAGAGCAGTGGCCCAGATGCGCCCTGGGGGTGGGTGGGTGAGGGACTGTCCCCGCAGGGACATCTGGGCTGTGGGTGCCAGGCCTGCCCAGGGCGTCTTTATCTCCTGGCATGGGTGTGATCACGTGTTGAGGCCGGTCCGGCCTCGCGGGCGCCCACGAACGGGCCCCAGGCCTGTACACGGAGGAGACAGCATGTCCATGTGAGGACACGTCAGGAGCAGCCACCAGAAAGCTGTGTCCACGCCTGGGCCCAGCCCCACGTGGCCTGGGCAGAAGAGTCCCGTGCACTCTCTGCAGGCGGCTGTAGCGGATGCCGCTCAGTGCACGGGAAGCAGCCACCACGCATGCCTGGAACCCCGTTCACATCCTGCCCATGGCGCCTGCCACGGTGCTCTGGGCGTGGGCTTTACAACCGCCCTTCACCGAGGGGGCTCCCTCCACACGCTGCAACAAGGCCACCGGGCCCCACCAAGCCCCGAAACCGTCCAGGCTCAGAGTAGCCCGGACAAGGGCCTGCGGGTGGCAGCCGGCATTGAGGCGGACACGTTCGTGGGCAGGCGAGTCTGGAAGGGGCCGGGCGGCGCGACCGTGAAGATCGCGTGAGAGGAGAGAGGTGTCCGCGCTCTCCCGGCGGCAGTGGCAGCTCGCAGGGGGAAATGGGCTCTGAGTTCTGCAGTCGGAAGGTGACAGCCCCTCTCCAGGCGCCCTCTCATCTGCAGTCCCAGCCCCAGCAGGTGGCAGGTGGTGCTCACACGTCCATGTGCTCATTCCTTCATTCATTCATTCCACACGCGTGAGACGGGGCCTGCTGGGTGCTGCGCGCAGCGGGAAACAGGCCCACGGGGTCTCGAGTGGACCCGCGTGCTGGGGGCCCCACACAGCAGCCGCGCAGGTGGCAAGCGACGTGACCCGAAGTGCCTCTCGCTGCTTCTGAGGCCGCAGAGAGCCCCAGGCCGGGCTGCTCCACCTTCGCTGCCTGGAGACCCGGGACCCCTCGGCCCTTGGCTCCCCTCCCCCTCCCCTGCTGGAATAAAGGCCCGGAGCCAAACGCGAGGCCCAGGACAGCGCCTGCCACGCTCCGCCAGGCCCCCCAGGGCGCCGCGCACAGGAGCTGGCCCGGCCTTCCCGCCAGCGGCACGCGGAGCAGCGTGGGAGCGTCCAGAGCTCTGGAGGGCTGGAGAGGACCGGCGGTTGTCATGGCAACGCGCAGCCAACCACAAGCCTCATTAGATGCCAAGCGGGCGTCATCCGCAGCAGACGCCACCCTCTGCACCGGCCTGGTCCCCAGTGGGGGTGGCGTGACCGTCCTGGCCTCCGTCTGGGCAGGGCAGCCCTGTCCGGGTGCCAGGGCAGCGTCCCCAAGGCCGGTGCGCGTGTCCAGCCCGACGCCCACATTTGGGAGACAAGCGCCCGTTGACACGTCCCAAAACCCCCGACGCATGCGCAGGCGAGGCCCGGCCCTTCCCACCCCCCTCGCCACCCGGCGGCACCGGAGGCCTGGGGCGGTACCACCTCCGACCGCTGCTGCCGGCTGCGCAGGACCGTGACCGGCGACCGGCGACCGCGGCGCTGCCTCTCCGCGCCCCAGCCCGGGCAGCGCATGCGCCCCACACGCGGGCCGGTCCCGGGAAAGGCTGGACCCCGGCGGGCGGATGCGTGTCCTGCCGCCACCCCGCGGAGGGAGCCGAGCGGAACCGCGAGCAGCCGCGACCTTCCCGCCACCCCACGGGGCGTCGTCCGCGTCTGTGGTCGTAGGTTTTCTCTTAAGTCAGTCGTGCGCTCTGGATCTGATGGGTCGTTAGGAAGGCGCGACGCTGGCTGCGTTCAGTCTGTGTTCCACCGGCATCTACGTCCTCTCCAATTACAGCCGCCTTTTACTTGTCATTCCACGTGTCAGGTTATCGCTGCAAAGGCAGCTTCGATTTGCAGAATCGGAGGGACGGGCGCAGCACGTGATTGGCTGGGCAGAGGCGGCGCAGCTAGGCCGGCAGGAGCAGTTCCCTGCACGGCGGGCCGAGTGTCCCGGTCGGAGTGGCCTGGCACACACGGGGCCACGAGCGCCACGAGCCCCCTCCCCCTTGTGCGCCGTGTGGGGCTCAGGTGCGCAGCTCCGCAGCCACAGGGCCTCCCAGCCCGAGCCCCAAGGGACTGCAGGAGGCCTAAGCACACGGGCACACGGGTGGTGTGGACTCATGCAGGGACGGACATGCACAGGGAGCTCCCCACCCTCACCTCAGTTCAAGGGTCTTTGCAGCCCACACGCCCCCTGAGATCTCTGGGACCCTGCGGCGTCCGTGGCTGCCCCGAGATGACCCACCTGCCCTCCGGCAGGCATCACATCTTGTCACTGAATGACTGTCTCCTGAAAGTGCCCAGGAGCCCCAGGCTGGGTGGCTCGGGCTTTGGGGAGGTAGGGCTGGGCGGGGGCTGACCGGCTGGCTGGCCTCTGTCCCTCCAGGTGGGCATCGTGCTGCACTACTCCACGCTGTCCACCATGCTGTGGATCGGAGTGACCGCCAGGAACATCTTCAAGCAGGTGACCAGGAAGGCCCCACCATGCGCGGATGCGGACCAGCCGCCGTTCCCCAGGCAGCCGCTTCTCAGGTACGGGGACCACTCTGTGCGTGGCCCACCCGCCAGGGGGCCAGGGTGACGCTGGCACATCCTCTGTTTCCTGGCAAGCTCCTCAGAGGGCAGCTGGGGCCTGAGGAGGACCCGATCCAAGAGGGCCACAGGGGCAGGGTGGTGACCTGGGGACAGGGTGGTGACCTGGGAGCAGGGTGGTGACCTGGGGCAGGATGGTGTCTAGATGGTGTGCTGGACACAGGGTGGGGACAGGGTGATGTCCTGGGGACAGGGCAGGGACAGGGTGATATCCTGGGGACAGGGCGGGGCCAGGGTGATGTCCTGGGGACAGGATGGGGACAGGGTGATGTCCTGGGGACAGGGTGGGGACAGGGTGATGTCCTGGGGACAGGGTGGGGACAGGGTGATGTCCTGGGGACAGGGCAGGGACAGGGTGATATCCTGGGGACAGGGTGGAGACAGGGTGATGTCCTGGGGGCAGGGTGGGGCCAGGGTGATGTCCTGGGGACAGGGTGGGGCAGGGTGATGTCCTGGAGACAGGGTGGGGACAGGGTGATGTCCTGGGGACAGGGTGGGGCAGGGTGATG